CGGCTAGGAGGTATCGCACTCGCGCTCCGTGTGGCTCTCGATTAACTATTGCCCGTGCTCACCTCTGTTACTTGGGTTATCCACTCATGAACGTTTGTGCGTGAACACCGGCATTCAGTACCTAGAACACGCACTGGGGAAGACGCCTAACTTCCTTTTGTTGCAATCAGGCAACATAACACGTCGACACAGCTACCAGCGGAAATAAATCGGAGCGATCAACACGACGGATGGACTAATGGAGTCCACCCCTCTAACAGATATAGATCACCAACCGCCACACTTTTCAAACTGGGCGGCAACAACCCCCATCTAGCGACGAAGCAAAAAGTGATAACTATTTCAGGAAAAAAACGGCAACTCCTTTCGCTGCCTGTTGCACCGCCACATTCACTCACGACACCGGACATATACAGAACACTGCACATACACAGGCGGATACAAGCATTCCAGAACAAACTCACAACACCCATCAATAGTACATACATCCTACTTATTTTTTTTTCGTTATTGCATACATCCTACTTATACGAACTGAGCAATGCTCCGAGCGGTATATATGCCCTCCTCTTTCGCGCATTGGTTAGCCCAGTAACCAGACTAGTCTTAATAAAAATATAAAAAGATCACGCCAATTTTATTTTTTATTAATATTTTCCTGCATTTGTCTTAGGTAGGTACACATATCCGTTAATAATTTCTTACAGCATAATGTATTCTAATGATATGCACCTAACTTCTTGTAACTCAACGTGAGTGACAAGATCTATCGTCAAAACCTCTGATGGAACAGTGTTTTAAGATAATCTACTAGCTATTATGTATAATTTCTCATGTTCTTGTTTATAGTTACTGTTATTATTCTACAACTGCGTCTGCTATTGCATTCTTCGTTCTACTGCCCTCCCCTTATGTAATGCCCTAACCGGGCCCTTAAGGTAAAAATAAATGAAATAAATGAAGAAAAAAAATCGTGTGAATTCTGTCTGGCAACCACACTCGCGGCGTGGTTGTTATGGCGACGCTGTCGGTACGCACGCCGGTCAGTCACAGCCGTCCAGCTGCGGCCTGGTGCACGAGTCCACGGTGAACGCCGCGAACGCGAACGAGAGAACAACGCGCCGACTAGAGACCTGGAGAAAAAAATCCTGCGAGGGGGCAGGAGGTGGGCATTGCAGAAAGCAATAAAAGGCTAGGACGCATACGTAAGCTGTACGTAATCGAGTTTCCGCCCGTTTGCTGCCGAATTCTCCATAGTCTTCTTCCTCCGCCCGTTCGAAAGGGAACAGCCTACAAGTCCGATTACCGCCGTGGCTTCAGTGGCTTCATCTTCGGGAGGAACTGTCAACTGAATTAGTTCCAAAACATGGGTGCGTCAGGCAGAGCAACGTGGCGCGGTCCACGCACGAAGTCGGTAAGTAAACAAAACACTCAATGCCGTTCCATTCTTGCTTTTTTTTTAATTTACGGGGGCGCGCGGTGTTTCTGGGTGGCTCAAGGTATGGGAAAGCAACCGGAAAAATTGGCGCCTGATCGACCAGGGGTGTACTAGTCTATTGATGCATTTTACCTTCTGAAATTTCAAGGCGTGTCGTATGTAGACGACAGCGTTTGCCGGCGGGAGGCTCGGTCGTCCGTTGCGAACGCATTTTTAGTATTTTTAAGGATGTTCTGGTTGCAAAAGAAATGAGCGCCTTAAAATTTCACACGGTAAAGTGCACCATAAAATACACTGCAGAGGAAACGACGCTCCTTTGCGTTCAGGCACCGATTTTTCCGGCAGACTTTAGCGCGCTGTGAAATACAGTGTGCACTTAGAGGAAGTTTTGGCCTGATATAATATTGCTCATTGGGAATAAAAAAAATGCTGGCATCATATGTTTACACACACTTGGTCATTTTTGGAACCTTAAGTACCCTTTTTCTTGACAGGTAGTGGACGGCAGCACATCTTACGAGGACCGAAGAGTGGAATCCGGCCCACTCCCCTCTACATTAACATCAAATGAGTGCTGGGAAAGCAAAGAAAGTGAGGGTGAAACAGTTCCTGTGGTAGTAAGTGCCAAAAACAACAAAAGTGCCCCGAAGTGGAAAATATACTCCCTTGAAAAGGATCCAAAAGAAATAGAGGTCATCAGGTATTAGAGACACTGCCCAGCGTCACAGACCTGGACATCCATTCCAGTTTTTTAAATGCCCATGCCCTGATGAGGTGTTTACAATATTTGAGGGCACCATCCTCTATTCAACTCAATGTCACCCTTAACACAATGTTCGGGTTCCGGTCACACCTCCACGCAGGATGTCCTGCTCTAGATCAAGGAGGATATCCTTGGCAGAATCTCCTGTACGACGACGCGGGCGGTCCTGGCCGTGGATATAAAGGGTGCCTTCGACAACGTCATTCACACGCTGGTGTTAGAGAACCTGGCCTCGACTGAGCGCGGGCCCCGGATGTATGATTATGTGCGGGACGTCCTAAGCAACTACATGGCCACCATCGGAGTCGAGTCCATCTGCACAAGCACCATCCCGGTCCCCAGCAAGGGCACGCGGCAAGGCTCGGTCCTGTGACCCACCTTGTTACCTGGCGATGTGCAAGCCACCTCTTTTACTGGAACGGATTCCCCGGATGAAGCATACACTTTATGCGGACGGCCTGACGATTTGGACTACGTCGGGATCGGACGGCAGGAGGCAAGACTTCCTCGAAGAAGTCATTGAGACGGCGCAGAACTACCTCGAAGCCGGCAACCTCCAGCGCGCCCCCGATAAGTCTCAGCTGTTGCTCGTCTGCGCGGTCAAGCCAATTCCCAAATAACTAGGAGGCGGACATCCGCCTCACGTTAAAGGATGGTACCCCCGTGCCGGTGGTGAAGCGGGTTCGGATCCTGGGACCTTCACCTCCAACGGGATGGCGGAGCCAAGTACACGGTCGACCGACTCGTCGAGACAACCACGCAAGCCATGTGCATGATGAGCAGGATAACGAGTCACAGACACGGGCTCAAGGAGTCGGACCTGGTTCGGCTGACTCATCGTGAGCCACAACACCTACGCAAATCTGTATCTCAACCTGCTGTCGAGAGGTAAGGGCAAGGTGGACGTGATTATTCGCAAGGCGTACTAGCTGGCACTGGGGGTGCAGCTGTACGCGTTGAACGCCAAGCTCCGGCGGCTGTGTGTAAACAACACCTTCTAGGAACTCATCAACATGCACCTAGCCGGTCAGTGGGAGCACGTGGCCTTCACATTGAGTGGGCGGCACGTCCTGAGCTCGCTGGGCATCCCCATCCCCGCATCGCAATGTGAGGCTATCGAGCTGCTGTTGGCCCTTCGGGACAAGATCCAGGTGGCACCAATCCCATGAAACATGACCCCATTCCTGCATACAGGTCGCTGGATGGCTCCCGGTCCCTTGACTCCGCTTGGTCCCGTAGTGTAGCAAATGGCCCCTGGTAGCAATTTGTTGCTAGCCCAGCATTTAAGCATACTCCAGCCTTTTTGTATGTAAAGCAAAACAATTACTGCAACTGAACACTCCTTAACTGACGATAATCGAATTTTGCACTGCTCAATGCCCTTCTGTTTTATCTTAAAAAAAACGCAACTATGTACTCCGAGTACCGGTCGGAGCACTGCGGTGCAGGTAAAGTTTCTACTTATGAAAAATGTCTGCCCAAAACCTTGCTTCGGTACCTCGAGCCGCAACAGGAAGCCCGATACAGAGGTTTTAAGAGCAAGCTCCATACTTTGAATGTTGCTAAGCATGTGCGCTTGTGCAGTGCAAGTGTCGTTCAGCACAACGTGCTCATTCTTGGCATTTCGGTTTCACTTGCGCTTAAAGGAATGTTGAACTGAAATCTGAATTCCACAAAACACGGTGGCAAAAGTGTGTAACGGGATGCTACAAACACCGAAGCATCACTCACACAGCGATTTCTCGAACGGATGACCTTCTTTAAAAAAAAAAAAGGAGGCGCATTTGACAGATATGTTTACTTCTTGTTTCTCCGTGAAGGAAAGGGAACGGCCTCGTGTCTTCTCCGCCTCGCCACCTTGAGGGGGCGAAGCGGAGAGAGGAGGAAACGAGATATCTTCACGTCACGTGTCACGTCGTCCTCGTTCAATCTCAACCTCTTTTTCCTAAAATATGGGCGTCCATTCGAGATATCGCCTTACGAACAGTGGTAGGGATTGTAGCGGCCCGCCTACAGCTTCTGCATTGATTTCTGAAATTCAAATTCCGGTTCACCATCCCTTTAAAGGGAAACGGAGTGTGGCAGTGAAGGGATGATTTTTTGTGTCAAGCTGGAGTTTCCTACCATTACCACTGTAGGCCAGCAAAGGCTACAGGCACGCAAAAGCGATTTTGCGAAGTTCTTTGGCAGAACAAGTGCTTGCAATAGAGCGTGTACTATCTCGCACTTGTCGCCTTGGACTGCGCTTTCGCCTTGGCACGGCTTCGGCAACACCTTTAGAATGCCCGCATTCTTCAATAGAGCCACAATGTTATGAATATACAACAACAATGCCTAGCTTTTATTTTTTTCCAAAAAAGAGCATTTCTGAAACTTTGAAAATGCGGCAGTGCACGCTCATTACCTTCAGTACTGCTTAGTACGTGCTCACGCACGCTCACTTTATCAAGGCTGAAAAGCTTGTGCTGGGATGGGGCTAACAGACCACACACATCCATCAAATCATTTAAAATCGGGATCTCATTTTCTTTTCTTCTGTTGACCCTCTATAAGTTTATTCTGCCAAATGTTACCGAAACGTTAACTGCCCACTTCTCCAATTTCGAAAAATCACAAGAGGTTAGTGTAAATTCTAGCATGGGGTGGGGACCATTCATATAGAAGCACTATCGAAAACAAGTGTAAAGTCAACAGTTTGTTCTTAGGGGCGAAGCTCCTTAGGGTCTAGCCTTGTCCGGCGTCCGTGCTCACATCGACTGCCATCCCATCTGTCTTTTTAAAAAAAGAAAAAAATGTTTGCGCAATCGACAGGACTCGAACCCGCGCGGGGAGACCCCAATGGATCTCCAGTCCATCGCCTTAACCACTCGGCCACGACTGCGGGACGAGTAAAGGGCTCTGTGATGTGGCAGTAACTCGAGAGCTGGGGGTGTCATGGATGAAACGTTGCATGTAGCCGCTCAATACAGGAGAGGGCGGTGTGGTCAAATGCGTATATAATCGCGTTAAACTTTGCACGCATTGGCTAAACCTTCATAGACGAGAGGACGCTGCGGTCAAATACTCAACTGCGTATATAAACACGATCCATACCACACATTCTCTTTCTGACATGGACCGTTGACTTAAGTGGTGGAGATGCGTTCCCACGGCTTCTAGCGGATCCAAGCTGATCTACTAGGAGGACCACTGTCTCTGCATTTCACCGACCATAAAGCAGTAATAATGAAGTCGAAACGCAACCCGGAACTCAGCACTACCTATGAGCAATAAAACAAAATCAGCACCATCAGCACTACCTATGAACAAAATCAGTATCATCAGCACCTCCAGAGCTTCGCCCCAATCAACATCATTCACCACGTGCAGATGCAGTCATTTTTATTTTCCAGATATGTTGCACAATCTTATATCTGAATTTTTTTTCTAAAGAAAAGAAAGCCTTAAATTTAAACAACTAATTTTAAAACAAGTTTTAAATGAATAGCCATACAGGAAATCTTATATATAGCACTGTACTGCCCTATGAAAAACGAGCAGGCTATGAACAAAATGAACCAAAGCATTTCACTAACACGGGAATATTGAACACTAGTGGTGTCTTTTGACTGAAGTAATATGCAAAGTATGAACGGAGCGATAAAGAAACACAACATTTAATGCCGGTCATCTCCACTTCTTGAAAGTATCTCAACAAAAGATTAATTTGACATTTCGTAGTAAGGGTGTTGAATTCCAGACATAGTGACACAAACCGTTTTGAGAAAAACGTAAAAACAAAATGTAACTACTTCATACAGGTGCCTAATAGTTTGATGACTAGGAAACAACACATAGGACTAGAGAAATGTGATGAATATAAAGCTGGTCATGAATTGAAGCATACTTAGGTATGTGAGCCACACAACATGCAGCTGCCATCTCAAGGAAAAGAAACAAAACCTTTAGTGATTTCGAAAATCGAAACTATCCTGGCAGGAGTTTCACAGACTTTGGCGACCGCACTATGTGATCAGCAATCAGGCTACAGGTGTTTTCTTGATTGTATTAATCACCTTGATTGCAAGTGGTCGTATCTCTGAGTAGATTAGAATAAGACAAAGCCTCTCAAGAAGGCAGCTCGTATTGTATGTCTTCTGGCCATGGGCGAAGACGAAAAGCCAGTAGGCCGCTATGACCACAGTCAAGCCATTCTCCGCATCTTGCACTTCGAAAAACCAAACTGTATCAACGCGTATGTTCATGCTCTTCGCTGCCTCCACATCATACCCTGAGAAGGCAACGGAGGGTGTCGTCGGAATGCTTGCCACCTGCATATAAAGCAGAATTGATTCAGTCAGAGAACAATAAAGCCCGCACTGATGAGTGTGATTTTAAGCATGAAATGCTTTTAGCTCCCGGCCACCAAACCGATGAGGTATCTTTTCGGGAACTAACGCCAAAAATCACTTCAAAACATCCCAGGTTTCGAAGTTGACTTTCGCGTTGGTTTTCTTATTTGAAACCGGCTTTGAAACCTACTGAGTCTTGAAGTCAGTTTTGGGTCAAAAAGGTGTGCACTAGCAGGGTTCAAAATTTGCTGTCAAAATTTTGTTTCGCTGAGACAAGGAAACAAAAAGGAACATGCCCACCACCGTCCCAAAACCAGCAACCAGCACAGCATACAGCTGTCGTTTACTTCCACAAGCTTTCTTCCTTGTCATCCTACACGCTACACATGCTGTGGAACCTATTCTCATACACGCCATGAAACCTACATTATACATGCTATGAAGCCCATTAATTCCGAACTACAACTTTAAAACATTATCCAATATTCAAATTATTTTTTGTATGACATCACACCACTGAATTCGAAACCAAGAGCGCGTCACTCATTTCAACCGTTTGAAGTAGTCGCCTGACGAGGAGCCCGTTGTCGTAACGCTTTGACGGCGCACTTTAGTTCACCTTTCTGCCGTCGTCTTGGGGGGGGGGGGGGGGGTCTCAGGCATCGTGCCCGCGCGAATATTACCACAACTCTTTAATTGATTGGTGCGGCACAGAAACTTCTGTTCGGGCTGGAACTTGGTCAACAGTGTCTGAGACGAGCACAACGCCCATTTAAGTCGTTAAATAAAATTTCGAAATTGTCTTCATGGTCTCTTTCAATGCAGGCGTCTGGAATTCGGAAAATTTAGTGGCCGTCATTATGCCCTATGTGACCGACTTGCGACAATTAATGGTTTTACAGAGTGTATCATATTGTGATTTATTGGGAATTAAGCCGTGCTGTTAATAACATGCTCTGTATTGTCCGCTTCGCTGGTGTTTTTTTCTGCCGTCATTGCATTCACGCAGCTTGAAAGTGCCGTGCTTTATGCGACTTGTGGCATGCACACACCGTGGCGCTCCACTTCACAGCGTGGCGTGCGGTGGCGGCAATAGCCTCTGCCAAAAACATGCTAAGCTACTCCCTGCATAGCATTTGTGGCGGGAGAAAAGATACAAGAGTATAGTATGTTGCAGGTTAAGACGGTACGGCGAGGGGAAGAAGTTCCGCCTACACTCTTTTCACTTTAGCAGAAAGGATGCTATAGAGAAAAGAAGGAAACCGCCAATCGCGGCAAGCAAACCCTTTTTGGACTGGCGCAAGTGATGGGAGACGCCAGGCAGTGTAAAAAAAGGGGAGGGGGGTGGACTGCAAACGTGCTTACCAGGAATAAAAAGGGGGAAGAGTGAAAAGAGGTATTCTTCTGTAGATTCCTTTTGCTCTCGGAGCTGTGAATGCGCCATGGCCGGAGTGAGCTCAACTCAATGCCCCCAATCTTATTAAAAAAAATATTGCCGGCAGAGTTTTGCGGACTCCTAAAATGCCTTTACGGACAGGTTCCACAGACCCTCATTCCAGAACTGTTGGCCTAGATTGCGGGCATGGGCATCTGGAGTACGTTTTGCACGAAAAAAAAAGGGGGGGGGGGGGGGCAAACCTCATTTTCATTCAAAGTTATAGGGCTGAAAGCTACACCCCCCTTTTCCGCCACTTTCCTGACGCCCATGATTGTGGGCACCTCATCACTTACTAAATGTTTCCTAAGACCAATGTGTAGAAAGTAGGAGCTACCATTCAAGCACCTGTCATGACTACAGTGCAAACATATCACAATAGCAGGGAAGAACAATAAATACTAATAGACATTCTGGCCGGAAACAATGGCACAGTTTCAGAGTCACTGCTCAGCTTGCCAGCTGAGCCAGACTAGAGAAACGAAATTGGTAAAGTGAATGAGTTGCGAGTATAAAAATGCCACAACAAAACCCTAGTGGAGTTCTTAGAAAATGTTGGGGGCTTCTTGTCAATGAAAAAGGCACTCGGCAATTAAATCCGATACTTGGAGCTTACGCTTCATGAGCTTGCAGTTGGCACCTTTTACTGAGATCACGGTGATGTGCTCCAGCAGCTCCTTGTTGCATCTCAAAATCTTCTTGGAGGCAAGACTAATGATGGATGCCACCCCTTCCGGCATTAGCTTCATTAGCTCGATCTTTGTCTGGCTCTTTTAGTCTTTTCGGAACTGAAACTAGAGCATGCATACATATCCGCATGATTGTCACAGAAGTGAAACAAGACAGAACCAAATTTCCAAGAAAATGTCTCCTAATTCCAGCCCACAAAAAATAATTTTAAAAATTAGCTTCATCTTTCTATATTAAATCTATATATATTTTCAAATATATAGGCACTTTAGAGACACAGAGAACTAGCGTTAAAGGAGAAAATATAAAAGGTTCTTGGGGCCCGATTCGGATCATCGTTGAGATTGCGATTAAGATCTCACTAGGTCCGCACAGTGATTGGACACTGTGCCACATACGAACGCTCCTGACCAATGAGAATTCTTTTCGCTGTCGACGAGGCAATTTTTGGTGAGAACCTGTCACCTTCTTTCGGATAGTGAGATTGATATCGTAGTAAGGTGGGTGCTTGTCCCAAGCTCTTTTTTTGGCACCAGTGGGTGTCAAGTCACACACGGCCAGAAAACAAATCAGCATAGCCAAACGAAGCACAGGACGACAATTGCGTCCGTAGATAGCCGATGTTCCATATTTCAATTAGTTTTTGATCTCATTCTGCGCGGCACACAATTCGTAGCAGACTAATGTCCCTTCTGCCTCTGTTCGCAGATGACTTGCTAGGCTGTTCTTCGTTTTTTTTCTGTCACAGAATGGTACCTAGTAGCAAACAAACTCATTATCATTCCCTCATGTTAAGAAACGATACGTCTAATAGCGGTATTTTAGCTTCCTCAGTGCAAGCCGGTTGAGATCTCGATGACCAAAATCGCGTTCCCGGTGAAATGAAATGGCAAACTGAGAAGGAGTTCATGGCCAGGGGCCAAACAAATACCAGGCGCATTCTATGGTGAGAGTATTAGCACCAAGAAGTTCCGGTGGCGACCCCTTGCGGTGAGCCGGGGTGACGTCACGCCGAGGACAAAATTTACCCCCTCACTCGCCCTGCGGAGGCTGAGACGGCGTTAGTTGTCGGCATACTAGTTTCTGTTTTCTTTTTTTTTGTGCACGTTTCACGTAGTAAATATAAATTATTATTTGCTGCCTTATTAGGGTATGGTCTGTAGCTGCAGGCGAAATTTCAACCAACATTCCGAGCATGATCTCCAGGGCAGACAGCGCATGAATCACAGCTGGTATATGAAAAGGAAGAAATGTCACCACACTTGCAGGAGCATTGCAATATATTTACATCTCGCACAATCAACGCTGCTGATGATTTGAATAAATTAAGAGGTTTTTTCATCTTTGTTTCTAAACAAAAACGTCTCAGCGAAAAAGCTGCACTCTGCTCGAGCAACATGTCAAATCAGACTATTCTGGGACATG